CTCCGGAGAAAAAAAAAAAAAAACAACCAACCCCGTCTGAACATCAGCGCGACCTGAACGTGCTTGGCTCAAAACGTAACGTAACGCTACGTCCGCTCGATGGGGCAGGTACCATCCCCACAGCCCAAAAAAATATACCCTCCGAGCAAACCCCTCCATCTGCCTCGACTCTTGACGCCCTGCAGTGTACTCTGCACCCCTCCCCACCCCCAACGACTGGTGTCAAAAATAAACACGTCCCCCAGTAACAGAGCGCCAATTAACAGCGGGACGCCATTGCCGGACACCTCCCAGGCGAGGACGCCTGCAGCGCAGCCTGATCTTGCGGCTTTAACGGTATGTGGGAAAAGGCCGACGTCGGTAACAGGTCCTCGCCGGGCAGCCCGGCGACAATCCGCACGCCACATGGCGAACGAAGCTAATTAACGATTAGCCAAGATGCTCCGTCTGACGCAGCACCGTACATCATGCCGCGTACGGACGTAAATCAGCGGGAGGGGGGGAAAAAAAATAGCACCGAATGCAGAAGACCGACCTTAAAGCCATGATGCCGTTATGTTGCCTGTGGTTCGCTCGTTTTAACTGGGAATCTTCTCTAGCGTCTGGGAGAGAGCCATTTGCCGAAAGCCGAAGCACATGCTGGAGAGCTGAGCCGCTCGCCGTCGCTCTCGCGCGTAGGGAGTTCACCGTCCACTGCACTCATCATACCGCCAGCAAGAGAGAGGTATCGGCAACGCGCGGCAGCGAGCGTGACTGCACAGCACAGAGCCCCCCCCCGGCAACGGTGGTGCTGGGTAATGATTCATGAGGGGGGGGGGAGGAGGCAGAGTACAAAAAAAAATAAAAAAACAGCTCATTTAAAAACCTAGCAAGCAGGATAATGTGCTTACCATGCATACACCCACACGCCAAACCCAACCCCCCCCCCCCCCCCGAACCTACACTCTCGCTCTGAACAGATGAAGAGCCAACCGGACGCAGGAGGGGGAAGCCGAGGGGAGCAGGCGCAGGACTCGCTGCGCTGCTGCTGCTGCAGCTTCCGAGTGATGCGCCGCCGGCAGCCCCGCCCCCTCCTGGGAGGGTGAGCTCATTGCGAGGCTCCCAGCAGCTGCCACCAACGGCCCTGAAAGTGTCAGAGAACTGACCAGGGCCGATGGCATAGTGGGAGGGCGGGGCCAGTATCATTAAATGTGCCAGAGACTCACCCGATTAGCACCAGAGCCCCCCCCCCACACACACACACAGACACACACGTGCTCCCACCCTCAGATGCAGGCCGGTGCAGTGAAAACTGGGAGCAGGTGAGCCTGAATCGTTAAGAGACATCAGAGGAATTCAATTCCATGGGTCCACACGGGTAATGTAACCGTACCTTTGAAAAGTGCTCCCCCAGCTGGTATTTCCAGGAACTACAGCCCTCTGAAAGCCTGTGGGCAGGAACCACATGGGGAGGGGAGGGGGAGTGATAATTCGTGCTGAATGAGATGTAATCCCATCAGTCTAACAGATAAACTCATTTTCACATTATACATGGTACGGTTCTGCTGTGTTCAAGACTATCCTAAAGGCACCTATTCTTTGGTGGCAATCCAATTTACCTAGGAAAAGCAAGGAGGAATACAGCGCTGCTGTTTTTAGGTGTAGACTGAGGTTTGGAACAGAAAGAGTGTGCTATGTCATACGAGGAAAGGTTATTTGAGCTAAATCTGTTCAGCCTCAAGCAAAGGAGACTGAGGGGGGACATGATCCAGGTCTATAAGATTCTAACAGGTTTGGATGCTGTTCAACCGAATAGTTACTTCAGCATTAGTTCAAATACAAGAACTCGTGGCCATAGGTGGAAATTAGCGGGAGAACATTTCAAACTGAATTTAAGGAAGCACTTCTTTACACAGCGTGTAGTCAGAGTATGGAATAGTCTTCCTGATAACGTAGTGCAAGCTGAATCCTTGGGTTCCTTTAAATCAGAGCTAGATAAGATTTTAACAACTCTGAGCTATTAGTTAAGTTCTCCCCAAGCGAGCTCGATGGGCCGAATGGCCTCCTCTCGTTTGTATAGTTCTTATGTTCTTATGTTTGTAAACACAATTTTAAGTCAAAGAAAAATAAATAACTGCCTAGATTTACACATACACAGTGCAAGATTATATAATGTGTTGTGGAAACAATAGAAGAAGATTGAAGAAGTATAGAGAAGCAAACCATAAAAATAAAAATTACTTTGTCCATCATAATATAAGCACTGGTGCATTTGGTGGGCAGATAGAAAAAAAATAAGCCGGCCCCCATAAAGTTTTAGACTGTTAGTCTAAAAGGGAAGAACACGCCTGGCAATTTAACGAAAAAAGTCCGTCGCTGTCATTATGACGCCATACTGAATAAGTGGCAATGGGATGGATGGGTGATTTTGCAGTTCACGGGATCTATACGGTAATTATGCAACTAGTGTCCCTCCTAAAGTTATTCAATTATCAGCCAGGTCAGGCCATAATATATTGAGTTCATTCATTAATGTGATACACAAAAATGCATCACTTACCTGTTCTTTTCACCCAGACTTCGTATTTTTTTCTTAAATGCGTTCATGGATCTGCAGGTACAAAACCCAGGAGTCGACTCAAATTGAATCCTTTCCCGGCGGCGTGGCTCCTATTCACCAGGATCATTCCATAAACAACCACATTTCACATTCATGGTTTAACTCGCCCAAAAGGTATCCAGATTGCATCCTCGCGCCACAACTATCCACACAGAACGGGGTAAAGTGAAAATTGACTACTAACGAAGCATTTAAACTGATGCAAGCACTGCGCTGCCTATCAACACTGGCGATTCCTGTCCCTCTCGTGGCTGGAAAATGAACTGCAGGAAGTATACACCAACTAAAAAAATTAAACGGGATTAATGTACTGTGTGTTTAAGACACGATTGTGATATGCTATCCATTTCATTTGTAGTGAAATTAGCTTGGACGGGTAGATAAATTATTTAGTTCTGTGAAATTATTGCCATTGCAAGCGATAAGACGAGTTCTAGGTATTTTTAGAACGTTGTGGGGTCAGCTAATGAAGGAAAAGAATAGGCTTAGCATATATTAGAAAGAAAGACGTTAAGCAGCATTGCTTTTTAAGGATATTCATTCTAAAATCTATGTGTGGGGTGTAATGAGTGGGCGGGGCTAAAATCCATTACGCCTTTGCCCAGTTTCCATAGAAACACTGGCTTCCGTTGCACCCCCTGCCAGATTGGACAGAAGGCATTACGATCCGTTTTTTCTCCATGATTATATTATAATACGTGTTTCATGTTTATACTTTAATTCATTTACATTTAATATATGCCATACAAAGATACCATAGAACAACTACACAATAATCTTAGCGGGGACCACGCTGAGCAATATATCATTTTCCGCAGAGGTTATATTAACAGAATGAGACATTTTATGATTTCGTATGCTTGACAAGCATCGGTTTAAACCAGGGTTTAAATATTACTCTTCGACACATTAATCCTATAGAACATTTCGTCCACATCACCGATCATCTGCCCACACGTTACTTGTAACATGAGCTGGTAAATTAGCCTTTTGTTTACATTCAGCTCTGGGTGTTCTTCCTGTGAAAATTCGTGGAAAAGGGAGACGGATCGTATAAGCTAGTTACTGGATAACCAGCACTGCAGCGGTGCTACATTGTAAATGGAAACAAACATTCAATTGATGTAGCTGATGACGCTACCAACCAAAAAGGTCTCAAATTCCTGAATAGAAAAATGCTTTTTAAACACATACTATTCCTAAAAAATGTATGTCTATACTTTGATTCTGTTGACTTGTGCGTTCTGATTTGTCCAGTCTAAATTTAACAGCACCCTCACTCGGAAAGCAAGAGTTAGGGTTGCCATGTTTTATATGACAAATCCCCCATTATCTTCTCAAGAGCACCGTGTGTTACAATTAGATTTCGGTTGTAAAACCAAAACAAAATATTACCCATCCAGGAAAATATTTCTTTCAAAAATTAAGTAAAACAAATATAAATTGTTCCTCACCGCACCATCAAATAACTTTATAAATACACATATTCAAAAGGGTGATTTCAGCTACATACAATTTACACAACGAACACAAATGTTTATATTCAGATGTGTATTCAGGTAGGAGGGGATCATATCGGGTAAAGGCTATTAGACCTAATTAAAACCTTACGTAATATGTAACACAGGTTTGTAACGATGAATAAGACGTACAATAAAGACTAATAAGTACTGAATTATTTACATAAATGCACAATGGCATATTTAAGTCTGGGCAATCCAAGTGCAAGTTATTTAGAGTTGTTATCATTCATAATAATAAGACAATCGAGATGATTGCGCGCGAAGCAGTTATGGTTTAAGTTAATGTTTATGCATAGGTTAGAACATAGAATAAGATACCGACTGGAAGGTTAAACCGTTTTATTCTATGTTCTAACCTATGCATAAACATAATCACAATGTTATTATGACGAAGGGAACATAGCTGTCTAATTCATAGCAAGAACACAATGATTTTGTAAAACTCTCTATTTCATAGGTCTACAGGAGTCTCTTTCTCTATTAATGCATCTAATGTATATATTATTTGAAATTAAGCAGATTTGAATTCGTTTGATTTAGATGGTTAGAAAGTTCTACGATAAATTTTAGTTTACAATTTAAGGTTATGCTTCCCCCTTTGCAACAGATCAATGTATCATATAAGCTGACTACTTCAAAGATAAAAATATTTAAACCAAGTTAACTATATATACTATAGCGATTATATATACACACTGTCATATCAATAAACAGCGTGTGTTCTCACATTATTACCCTGCTAAAAATGAAGAACTGGTAAAAATGAGCCCTTCTTAATGACATATCTTTAACCTCTAGCTGTGGAACCAAACCAGGCTGGTTATTATTACAACTTGGCAACCCAAAGCAGTTCCAGTTCCTGTTTTGCAGCAGCCAGACAAGCGTGACTCGCCTCTTTGCGGGGCCAATAACGCCGCTTTCAATGGGCAGGCAGTGAGTTGCGTCAGTGACCGTGTGCAGTTTTTGTTTTTATCAAACGATACCGAGCACGGTGCTGCTCGCCTGCCGTGGCAATAGGAAGAAAGGCGTGGATTTTGGGGCAGTAGAGCCCTTTTGACACCGGTGGGCTTTCGATCCAGAAAATACGCCCAATAACAGGCGGATTGTTTATATTGCTATATTCTGGGAAATTTGCATCGGGATAACATTGTCGTATAGTGTTGTCACCTGACAGTCGATTTAAACAATATCATGTCGACCGAGAAGCAAAGTATCCCCGAGGCCAATTTACAAGGTGAGTAAAATGCGAGGATTTCCCATTTATTTATTATCCGTGCTACCGGGGCAAATCAGCATTGGGTTGTAGTTTTTAAAATAATAAACAAAAACGCGTTTCGTAATTCTGTCAACCAAAAATATATAAAATAATAAATTGCTACCACAATCACACCAAATTTGCATACGTGAAAAACTGGTCTGTTTCTTTGCCTATAGTCTGATAACGAATACAGGCATGTCTGTCCGAAACCAATATGTTTATAGCTAGTCTTTGTTTCTCTATCGACCGCATTTTCTGTGTTAGTGTTTAGGCCAATACATTATTACTTGGACATACATACACATTCAGTGTACAATAAATAAGACGGAGGCGAAGCCTGATCCGGGATCGTTTGTCGTTATCGTCGAAAACAGCTTGTTGGCACTGCTGCATTAGGCAGGTATTTCTGGTATCCTATTGCCTAAGGTGGTTGTGATAAGCTACACAAATAGCTCGATATAGTTGAGTTGGTTCCCCTGTAATAAGTGGGAGGGGCGCTGACGTGATTCTGCCTCTTGTGGGGTTGGGGGGGGGGGCAGCAGAAGCGCTATTTCTGGATCATCATTGTTTTCCTTCTGGCTCTAACCCGATTAGTTTGTTGTGAAAACATCGTCAAGCAAGGTCTCCATTATTATTCTTCATCATTAGTGCGTGATTATGTAAACATGAGCATATATCGTTTTAAACCCATAACACGGCCAATGCATGACTGCGATTTTATGACCCGCTTTAAATGTGAGATATGCCCGCGATATAAATAAATGGATGCACCCCCCCCCCTCCTCCCGTGTGTGTGCATAAGGGTCTTGGGTGGAGCTGCACTTCAGCAACGGGGGCGGCCAGGGGGAAGAGCAGGTGTCCGCCTCCGTGCACAGCGGAGACATGGAAAAAATGCTGCTGGACGCGCAGCACGAATCCGGCCGCAGCAGCTCCAGAGGAAGCCTGCCCTGCGACAGGTGCCGGGCCCCGGGACACGGACACGGACACCGAGCCGCGGCCGCCGGAAAGCGCGGTTATTTTCGTGCACATAGACCGCAGCTGTAGTATTATATGGAAACTTCCAGAGAGAGCTGGTTTTATTACAACGCCCCCTCCCCCATGCAAACACACCTCCCTCATCCTTGTCCTTGAAATAAATGACCTTAAAGTAAAAACGTTTTTAAGATCTTATGGTACAGAAAATCGAGAGACTCCTTCACTGAGTATCGCCACTATTTGAACACAGGGATGAGAAACGTTTTACAACGCGTGTCCAGCAAGGGCTGTTTCTGGGTACTGGTGAGGCAATCTCAGATTTTCCTCTAAAGCGTTTTTTGTCTCTCTCACTCATCGCCATGATGATCATGGTCTTGACTGCATTACTGCAATTGTAAACATGGAGTTGCCTGTAATTATAGTGGCAATTGGATTATACTGAAGGTGACTGTCTCTCTTTACAGTCCCCCAAGACCCCAGACGCCACAGGCTCAGAGAAGCTCAGAGGCACACAGTACCGGGGAGAAGAATAGTTTTCAGGTATATCACATTTATATATTGGATACCTGACCACGAATGGAGATCCAGTCTTTAAACACATGATATTATAACTTAAGGTCCAGAACGAGAAAACTGATGCTTTTTAAAATCCAAGTTGGAAGAAATGCAATATGAAGTAAATAACTTACACGTCCCAGGTAACGGATCCGTGTTCCACTTCACTGTGTGACAGTGTCCCTCTGTTTTTGCTCAGTCTGAAGAAGATTATCTCGAGAGGAGACAAGAAGTGGAGACCATCATGAAGAAGAACGCCGACTGGATCTGGGACTGGTCTAGTCGCCCGGAAAACATGCCACCCAAGTATGTGTTCTTTGTGAAATGCACCCCCCGTCAACAGAACCGGTTACACGAAAATCCTTTTTTAAGAATTGCCGTTACCTTCCTGCCCTGAGCCCTCTGCTAGTCAAACATATCACAGTCAGGTCACAAACTTCATGAAATCAAATATGCGTATGAAAATTTAATTAGGGAAACGTGAACCCTTTTATCCCGTGACCTCTTCCCCTACCAGAGAGTTCCTGTTCAGACACCCCAAGAGGTCTGGCACCCTCAGCATGAGGAACACCCGGGTTATGAAGAAGGGAGGCATTTTCTCTGCAGAGTTCCTCAAGGTCTTCCTGCCATCGCTGCTCATCTCGCACATACTGGCCTTGGGTCTCGGGTGAGTCGACGTCATGGGGTCAGCCTGTCTACAGGGATGGCCCTTCGTTCCACTTTATACCCTAGGATTACATCTCCATCTCTAGTTCACCGCTTCAGCCCGACACGGAATCGTAATTCTGCACTTAAATGTCTGTTATGGAACAGTGATTTCTTGCTGCCTCTAAATATTTTCTGAAACAAAGATGCAATATGAAGATATCATAAGCGTCGTAAACATAAGGTCCAGATGATGAACAAACGGACGTCTGCATAAAATTATTTGATAATCTGGGCTAAAAAAAAGTTCAATTACATTTCAATACGTTATGCTGCAGTTCTGTATATAATGAGTGACATGCATTATTTATCTAGTCCCTACGTCACCTGCAGCTTAAGCCAAAAAAAAACCACAATATGAAACAAGTTCTGTAGACTCAAAGCTGCGTATTCACATTCCAGGGTTTTGTACTAACAATGCTAACGCTATAACATTTCTCTTCTCTCTGTGCTTGCAGACTCCCAAAGGAGGTGCAGGGAGGTGTCAGTAAATTAAGCTGTTCTTTGCTCCTCCTTCCCCAGGGTCTACATTGGAAGACGGCTGACCAGCCCCACCAGCATGTTGTAAGGATGCGCTATCCAGGTGGGATGCATCCATCATCGTTCCCTTCGGCCTGCGAAGCACCCCCCCCACCCCCACCGAGTGATGCTTTGTAGATTCCAGTAGGCACGGTGTGAGCCAACCCTCCCCCCAAGGCCTTGCAGCGCTCGTGTTCTCGTGGATTCTGTCGCCCCGGTAACCGCTTCGCACTCTCGGGCGGCTCCTCTGTAAAGTCCCCTCATCCACCCCCTGTGCCACCACGCCCCTGAGGGTTCCCCCCCCACCCCCCCACCAGTGTCATCTTCAGAACCACCGTCGAGCACTGGCGTTAATCGGGTAAATGTTCGTGCCATTAACGTTGGGTAGAGGGGCATCTGGTCTTGAGTGACATTTGTAATGGGATGCTGGGCTTGATGTTGGGACATTTCTTGCTGGTAAAAAAACAACAACAAATGCCCAAGGAGGTTATAGCACAGGACATGGAGTAAAAGCTACATGTCAAACAACTCCTTCATAATCTCTGATCCTAAGAACCAAACTCAAACCACCAAAGGATTATTATTACTGAGGAAAGGATGACAGAAGTCTGCCCAGCAACTGAATGGAAGCTGCAGTAGTAACTGGGTCAAATGCGTACCATGCTGGTCAGTCTGGACGTACTTTCAGATGTCAGGTTACAGACTCAGGATTGTGACAATTATCTTATACAGCAACTCGCCAGAAGTCATCTGAATGTTAACTAGCATCATCTGTATAGCAGCCAGTAGTCAGCATATGTGAATGTAAAGCAGGAAGACCATCAAACGCTTTAGGCTTGACGTTTCATAGCAGTTTTGTAGGAATGTTGGAAACTGTAATCGTTACGTAAAAAAATAAAACAAACTGCACAGCAGATGTTGGTGTTAATTAGCCCTTTTTTGGTGGGTTTTTATGAATTTGCTGCAAAAACTGTGGATCAGGTTAACTTAATTTCTAGCAATTATTTCTGGGATATGCAAACTATACCAAATTAATGCACAGTGCTGTTCTATTAAAGGAGGGGGAGGAGGTTCTTATCTTCACCTAAACATATCATGGGGAAATTAAGGCAGCTAATTTCAGGACCATCAAATGAAGTGTTCTAATTCAGGTAAACACAATTAAAATTTATTTAACTTTGGTCAAAATAATCAAACAAGTGTATACATTTCCACCATGTTAGCATCGTTAATCAACAGGGAACAGGGTCAACGCGGAAAACGCTGGGACGAGGGTGACGTTTCCTCTACGCAAAAGTGTCACGACCAACATACAATAACTTTATACCGTGGACTGTGGGGGTGTCTTGGGTGACCCCAGCGCCGACAGTCCGCGATGCTCAATGGCCACCCATGGCGAGGAGTGAGGACGACGACAAAAAGAAAAAGAAAAGGGGGAAGGTGGTGGGCAGGCTGTGGGCCGCCTCACGCCGAGCTCAGCGACGGGGGGGCTGGGGGGGGGCCAGCGAACGCTTCCTAGAGCGCATATACGTAACACCCTTTCCCACATGTCCTAGTAACATTTCTGCTGTAGGATGGACCGCGATGACCAGAGCTAGCAGCAATTTTAGGAATCCAAGAAAAAACCCCTCTTAAAAACAGTATTAAAATGTACGTAAGGTGTGGTTTCCCCTCCAAACATTTAGAGAGCGACTTAGACAATCTGTAATTCTTACACCCCCCCCCTCCCCCATGGTTGGGCGGTATTTTTTTGTTCCCAAAAGCAATACTAATCTCACTAATTCACTGACGGGGGGGGGGCACAATACATTTCACATTGATTAGTATTGACCCCGCTTTATCGTGGAGAACCACCCCCGGCTAATTTTGAAATATCGCAGTAATGCCCAAAATACCGCGCCATACCTTATTACTGCCAAAGGCTACCCCCCCCCCCCCAATGGAAAAAAAATTATTACGGTAGCTGATGACGAGAAACAGAGACAGGTACATGACCAACCAGGTACATTACTGCAGCTTCAAGTAGTTCAAGATCCCCCCCCCCCCCAAGCTACCAAAATCATGTGTCGCTTTCCGTCTCTCATACCTACGGTGTACATACATGCACGGCGATAAAACGTTCAATACATACTTGTATCAAATTTAAAAAGACATCTCCGTAGTTTTTGTTACTTTTATTAAGTGGTTGACACCAGACGGTGTGGTTATATAGATACAGTCAGTGAGTAAATGTTACTATGCATGGAGGAAAAAAAAATGGAATTGGGGCAAAAAAAAAACAAAACAAAAAAAAACAAAACAAAAAAAAAAAACAGAAAATTGTCCACTGACGAAAAATGAGACCTGTTTTAAGTTCATAAAAGATTAAACACCAGGGCCTGAAACGACAGCTAGGGGAGGAATGTTAACAGGCATCGACTAGCAAATTTTGTATCAGAAAGGCCAGATATTACAGTAGAGACTACATTTTTACAATAAAAATGTTATTCCTTGGGCATTTCATAATTTGGTCATGAAATCATAAAACGGAAGGCTCCGACTCAAATAAATAACACTAACTTTTGACAGTTTGGCCTCTGTTGAGTGTTGTCCATCAGTTCTGCTGTGGCTGGCGCCTTCTCCGTGTCAGGAAATCCCTTGATACCGCCCCGGCTTTGAGACCCCTCCACGCATGTAAACATGTGGCTC